AAGAAAAGATTCCCGAGAATCCATTTCTATATTAGTCATAGATGAAGATATAGTTATTTATTCTCTTGTTCATTTGTTTTCATCTAAGTGATTTGAATTGAAAGATTTTTTTAGTATAACACAAAATTTAATTGCTTTTAAATAGAATCTTCTAATGTTTTGAACTTTGCTCTACAAACTTTTTGTACTCTTGATCGTCTAGATTTTTTGTGCATTGATATCTTTTAATTTTCGTCTAACATTTTTATTCTAATTTGTTTCATAATCATTTAAATATTCTCTGTTTTATGTTTTAAAATAACTGTTACAGAGCTAAGTGATATATTATGTTTTTTCATTCGATTTAAGTTATAATAAACCAATCCTATGTTTATTATCATGAATTAATAATATATTTTTTTTTTGTTTCAAAGTAAGCTCGTGTTGTGATGTTCTTCTTTATTATACACATACAGCAGTTGAATCATACACAAAATGTACTTACTCATAATTTATACGAAACAGATGATAGGAAACAGAAAGAGGTGATAAAAACATATTGACACTAAAAAGGTTATAATAGCAAGAGGAACTACAAAAAAGTGTTCACTGTCGAGGATAACGAGGTGTCCACTTACTGTAGGTGCGTTTTCACTTAGGTTCTAATCACTAACTATTAATATCAATATCTTGTTAAATACAAAGAATAACAGTGTATACATTAAGGCAGCTCAAAAGTGCTAACTCATATTTTAAGATAAATGTTTTCATACTAATAAACGCTCTCGTAGAACTGCCTTTATAATAAACCAGTGCAACAAAATATGCTCTTCAAAATCATTATCAACTGATTCTGTTTTCTCATTTAGTACAAAAGTTTAGAATCTAGAAACTTCTGTTACATTTAAAAGTAAATTAACGGTCGTGAATATTTGAAACATTGACGATGAAATATTGAACTATGTGTAGTTTAAACAATCAATTAGCATGGTGAAATCGCTTTGGAGTTATTTTATGATTAATTGGATATCTAACATATTAACTGGATATAACCAATATCGTGTATTAGTTCTACTTCTGGAAAAAAAGAGAATCCCAGCTGGACAGTAACTCACATTGTTGATGAGTTACACTCTTATGAAAATACTTCTCTTTAGGATTGACAATCGATAAGAGGAGAAATAAATCGAATACTAAAAAGAAAATCAGCAAAAGATCGATTAAGTTTCCGTGCATCAAGAACTGTTAACAATAGAGCCATTTACGAAACAACTCCAAAAACCTGATATATTTAAAAAAAGTCGAAGTCAAAGAAAATGATTTCTTTAGTTGCCACGTTTATTACCCATACGGAATTCTTTACTTTTAAAGACAGAACTAATGAACAACATCGGTTATATCCAGTTAGTATGTTAGATATCCAATTAATCATAAAATAACTTCAAAGCGGTTTCACCATGGTAATTGATTATTTAAACTACACATAGTCCACTATTTCATCGTCAATGTTTCAAACATTAACGACGGTTAATTCGCTGTTAAATTTAACAAATGTTTATAGACTCTAAACTTTTATTTTTACTTAATGAGTAAGCGGAATCAATTGATAGTAATTTTGAAGAGCATATTTTGCTGCACTTGTTTTTTCTAAAGGTAGTTCTACGAGAGCATTTATTAATATGGAAATATTTAACTTAAACAAACGAGTCAGTACCAGACATATGACAGTTCTCGATCAAAGAACTCGTACCGGAAACCAGTGTTTTTTTTTGACAACTAGAATAAGTACTGAATAGAATTGCTACATTATTATCATCAGTGCACCAAATTCCTATGAAAAGAACTGGTCACTGGACTCAGTTCTCAAAAAAGAACCAGTTCTTAGAACTGTGAGCTGTCACAGATCTAGTCAACACTTGTGGGTTACCCTTCATATATGTAAGAGTTTCATAAGTTTCGACTATGTTTTTCTTTCTTTTTTTGTATCTCTATTTGGTACAATGCAAATGGACATAGAAGATGGATATTTGAACGATAATATCTCAGTTATGATTCAAAATAAATTACACTAAGTTTACATTAAAGCTAAGAAAGTAGCAAAGATTTGTATTTTAACTCTTGATGCCTACCTTTGAATGCATTAATTTTCGTCAGTAACCAATTTAGATGTGCGTGAGACAAGTATCCTTCTAATTTAAAAATATTTTTCGATTATCTCCAGACAAAGCGGATAAAAAAAAACAGCTAGTAGCACATCACACAAACTTAAAAATTGTCCATTGATAGTGATCATATGATTTCCTTACTAACATCATAAAATAGCCACTGAATTTTGTACTATACGTATAAATGATATCCTTGAATTTTCGACTACAGAAAAAAAAACAATCAGAAGTGTTACAGCATATGTGGCTCTTATAGTTTTCTTCAGCATAACACTAAGAGTACTAGTGTTGTTTCATGTTGAGTTTCTCTTCATTTGACTTAATTTCATGTATAGGCTTTTTCTTTACTTTAAAACTACACTACGTAGCACATAGATTCTTGAATCACAAATGCTTTAGATTAAATATACTTTGAGCCATCTAGCCATATTTCTTGGATTTGTTATACTGGAATATGCTATATGTATACTGTTGTTAATGATTTGCTAGAATATATTAAAGTTCAGTACTTTTAATAAATGATACTAGTCGAGAGACGTCGAAAGGAACTCGCTAGTTTAAAGTCAGCTAGTAAACTCTCGCACAGTTAATCTACATCATCGTCAATTTCGTGTACAAATCTTCATATATATATATTATACAAATTACTTGTTTCGACATTCTATTTCGATAGTATGAACTTGACTGACTATTCTGCTTCGTAAATGAACGATCGTATATGGTAGTATCATCTGTAAAAAATAAAATCTTTTTCTTAAAAAATTACTATGAACTTTGTTAAACTTCCAGTATTATATAGGTCTTCATATCTACTACAATGTCTTTTAAAGATCATTCGAAAATAAATTCTCTTCATTTTTCTGTTAAAATGCTCATACTCGAAAGTCAAAAAATTAGAATAATCATTATTGAAAAAAGAAATATTCTAGATAATCGACGATTGAAATTGTTGAAGATATTGATATAAGTATAAGTTATCAAAATAATATAAACAATATGAATGTTGATGATTCAAATAAAGTAAAACCCAACATTAGTGGTAGTTCGTATTTATGGGATTACATGATAAAACAAAATGACAAAGCAAAGTGTAAAATATGCTCTGCTATTTTAAGTCGAAAAAATGGTACAACCAGTGGACTACGTAAACATTTATTTCAAATGCATAAACTTGAAGCTTTTGGTGTTAATTCAAAAAAATTGGATATAAAACCGCAACAATTTTCTGTTGATGAAAAACAGAAGCTTGATTCATTGATAATTAATGCCATCGTAGAAGATGGACGTAGTTTCGGCGATATGAGACAATCAGGTATATTGAAAGTATTTAATCATTTAAAGCCTGGTGAGAAAAATACGACATAGTTTATCATTTTATTTTTATTTTATTTTATTTTTAGGCTATTTACCTCCTCATCGTAATACTATTCAACGGCGATTAAAACGATTGCAATCTGAAGAAAAATTAATGCTTATCAAAGAATTATCGAAAATTCAGTCTTTAGGTATAACATGTGATTTTTGGTCCGATAAACGACTTTATTCTTATTTATGTTTAACTGGTCATTATATAACATCGAATTATCAATTTGTTTCAAAAATACTTTCTTTTTCGTGGCTCCATCATCGCCATTCTTCTACGAACATTTCCATGGTTATTAAGAAAGAACTCAAGGATTTAAATGTGTCTGAAAAAACACGTTCGATCACAACCGATGGTGCGGCTAGTATGTCGAAAATAGGTGAAACGCTTTATGGCGATACAAAACAAATATACTGTTAGTGACTATACGTTAATTTCTTATTTTTTATAATATTCATTTTTAGGTGTAGCTCATCGTCTTCATTTGGTGGTATGCAATGGACTTGGACTTTGGGTTCGTAAACAAAAACTTCTATATGCATCAACTACTGATGCAATAACAAAGATTGATATAAGTGAAGATGATTCCGATGAAGAAGATTTTACTGATGACATTCAATTTATTTCACAACCATCATCAGTTACTAATTCATCAAGCTCACTTGAATCATTCGGTAATTCATTCGACATATCGAATGAATTGTTAAACACAAATCTTGATAATAATGTTATTGGAAATGAAAATTTAATGGACGAAGAACCAGATAATTTTTCCGATGATATTATTGATAACTGGTCGATTGATGTTATTGAAGATCTTGATATATCATCAGGTGAAACAGTACAACAAAATATAGGTGATTTAATGAAAAAATGTAGATCCATGGTGAAATTAATAAATAAATCATCCATTCTAATGAATTATGTTTCGAAACTTAAACAACAATTCAATATTCGTCGTTCTCTTCAATTGGATTGTAAAAGTAGATGGAATTCATCTCATCAATTAATTGTTGTTATGTTAATCTACAAAAAAATTGTTAATAAAATTCATAGTGAAAAACATGATATTGGTCTTAATAACAAACAAATGAACAAGCTTTCTTCAATTGAATTAGATCAATTTGATTGGAAAATGCTTGAATTATTGGACTTTGTCTTAAAGCCATTTGCACAAGCAACAAAGCTTCTAAGTAGTACTCAATATCCCACCATTGGTATTAGTTATTTTGCAATTGTGCAAATCCGAGATTTTCTTGAAGATTTGAACACTGTTGATGTTGACGATTGGAAAATTTTATTTAATTTCAAAGTATTATTATTAAATCAACTTGAAAAATATTTCATGGAAAAAGACGAACAGTGGCAATTGATGAAAGTAAGAAATTTGTACACCTATAGATTCAGTAGAAAATTTTTAACATATTAAGAATCATGCCTATTTCGATCCTATTGGCTACGGATGTTTAACGAGACGAGAAAGACGAACAGTCGAATCCAATATTATTGAATCACACGAATCATGTACTATGGAAGAAATGATTGATGAGCAAGAAGCTAATGAAACACAATCGAAATTAAATAGGAAACGTAAATCTACATCATCGAAAACATCACCTATGACAAAATTTCTTAATTCAGTCGGTAAAAAACGTGTATGTTCATCAATGGATATACCAACAGCTAGCAAGAATACACTAAATGAAGAATTTACTACATATAGAACATTAGCTCAAAGAGAATATAATTCTATAGTCGATGGTGATCAAGATCCTGATGTAGTAAGTGTCATGCAATTAAAATTAGGTTTTTTATTTTTCAACTAACTTTTCCGTTGATCTTATAGGTACAATTTTGGCAATCACATCAAATTGAATTGCAGCAATTGTCTAAAATTGCTACCTCTTATCTTTCTACGCCAGCTATTTCTGTTACATCAGAAAGTGCATTTAGTACGGCTTCATACCTATTACGAAAACAGTGGTCTCATTTAACACCCATCAATTTATCTCACTCAATATTTCTCAAAGATAAACTTCATACTGACTTTAATACACCGTATTAATAAAGAATGGCATAAGGCCAAATCGTAGTTTCTTCTACTTTTTTCTTTCATGAAACTCGTTAACTCGGAACAACACTAATTTTTATTGAACATTTCCTGTAACCATATTTTACTTTAACCATATTTTATTTTAACCATATTTAATACTCATGGTTTGCCTTTTCTTATTTATAACCGTGATAAATATTTGTTGATATAATAAAAGTACGAAACATGATCCGATTTCAAAGTATTTATAGAGAAAAACTAAGTGCAATTGATAAGATAAATTATACAGAAAAAAAAATCTAACCGTGTAAAAACTATGTTGGTTTCTGTTTCTATTGTGATTCTGTTAATATCAAAATTGAATTTGATATTGGCTTCGAAATAATTTTATGAGATGACACCACAATAAATATAGAGTGATTATGTATGTAAACCTGACACAAACAATCTGGTTATTTTACAATCCAGTAATAAAACCGATCAGACACTAACAGATAATATATAATATATTAATTAAGTAACGTCATCGAGCACAGATTTTCGATCACTGAACAACTATTAATGAATGGCTTCTTTAAAAAAAACACCATGACAGTATGGAGTTTAACAAAAGTTCTACTATATTTTGTGTGACTGAAGGTTCTGTCATTTTCATTACCCATAAGAAAAAATTCGAAAAAATGCATTTCAACACGCTTTTTTTAGCATATATATTTTCGCTAGAACATTTGTGTGTTTTGTACAATGCACCAAAATACATTTTTATTAGTCGAAATACCTAAAAATACAACAAAACACGTTTTTATTAAATGCAGTTCTTTCATTGAGGATGCAAAAAAGTAGTTACAGAATGGATTCTGTAAAGGATTTCTTCTGTTAACCAAAGCGAATCTTCTTTTTAATTCAACGCGTTTGAATCGTAGAATATATTTGCTTTCATTTCATATGGATAGATTCTAACTAACGACGTTTGTTTTGAATTACTTAATAGAGTTGAATTGTACTTTTACATCGAAACAAAATGTCTATATCGCAGGTCAAATAAAACAGCTATAAAATGGCGATCAACGATATAAAACGTCGATAAACGGCACCGTAATCCGTCATACCAGATTACGGAAGCAAAACCGGGAGAAAAAGACGGCCGTTTTCTAGCGATAGAAAACAACTTGTAATACGGTATGACAGATTAGGGCGAAATAAGGCCAAAATTAATGGAGTAATTCGCTGTTTCATAGCCGTTTCCGACGGCTGGAATGATCCTCCTGGGATATAGTGAATCGGAGAAGAAATTTAAGTTTTATGCTATTTTTTGAGAGATTTGATATATTTATCATCTGATTTGAAAAATAAATGGTAGTATATTTGTACAACCAACTTTGCGATATTTTTTCATATGCATCTTCATTATTTTTACTTTTTGAGATAGCTGTAACTATATAAATATTGTTTCTAGATGTAATATTGGTAATTAACAACCCATATCGTAAATACCAGACAGTTTTTAGCGGTAAACCGCGGTATTTATCAAAACCGGTGATTTACCGCAGTAAATTGCAATGGTGGGAGCCGGTAACCGGATCGGTAAAACCGCGATAAACCGGCGACTTTTCCAAGCATCTTTATGACATGGAGAGGTACAAGAAAAAAACATTTAAAATAGCAAAATCGATGATTTGGAGCAACTAAATGTTAATGATCATCGGCGAACCGGTTAACCAGTTCATTTTAGCGGTTTACCGCGGTAAATTATAGCAACGAGAGCCGATAACCGGATCGGTGAAACTGCGGTTAACCGCCGGTTTTCTTCCGGTTTTTATCACATGGGAACTTTCTTATTCGAAACTTCATTTATTTATGAGCACTTAAAAGATGTTAATTTACTCACACTAGGTAAAATATAGAAAAATCAATGTTTTACTTTACGAAAAAATAAATTAAAATAGCGTTAGATAAAGGATAAAGAGTAATTTATTTTACAAGAAAATATATAGTAGAGAGAAAATTTACGGTCATACAGTTGTTAGATAGACCTAATTCACAAATCCTATTGCCTTATAATCCTTTCTCTTTTGTGTATTTTTTTCATTAAAAAAAATTTTCGATTTTTTTCAAACTAACTTCATGGTTTTCTTTACTGTTCAAAATAATAAATGATTTATTTGCTATTATTTCTATAAAAATAAAGATTTTTTTTTTTATTTTTTATTTTTTTTCATAATAAATATTCTCCTTATCTTTACCCTTTATATTATAAGATTCATTAGGATAAATTTATACTCCAAAAATAGAATACTTAATGAAAGCAACAGAAAAAACAAGCTTATTTTGCTTATTACTTGATTTTATTTTGAATCGATAATAGAGTAAAACACAAAACTTTTTCTTTCTGAACTCGAAGAAAGCCTAGTAATAACTTGAAAACTCAAGATTTTCATTATTCATTCCATAGAAATAAATTATCAACGTCGGCTACTTTAGCTTTTTTGGCGTATGGGTTTAAGTATAGGTCTTCTCTTGACTCACATACCTTCACTCATACTCATATTCACACTAACACCTATACGCTCACTAAATCTCGCACATACCCGCAATCTCAGTCGCATGCATAACTACACCCATGTTCATATCCACATTCACACCCATACCCTCAAACTCTTTTGATTCCAGTCCTGGTAACCTTTTTCTAGCGACTCTGGTCTCAGTCTAGAGAAAACTATTCTAGAATTTATTCGTATCACATCTAGAAAAAAAAATCTTTAATACTCTTTTTTTTGGTTAATTTAGTCGACGAGTAGCATTTTTTTAGGTAATCTCTCTTGAATTACGTTCTGATTGATATGATTCATACGGTAATTCACTTAAAACTATATAATATTTAATCGTAATGTTTAGTCTCGATTGGGACCACTTTTTTCTCGTAGACTTTTAGTTCAATAGCAATGTTATTTGAAAAATAAAAGGCTAGATTCTTTGAAGGTCAACTAAGCAAATAAATTTCTCAAGCAAAAGTACGTTTTCAACAAAAAACCGATAACAACATTCTTACCTACTATTCATCCTCCTGATATGTGTTAAATCTTACCAAACATATGATCTGCGAAATAGATTGAAAAAGAATGGAAATATAGCTACAGCTGAATAAAAGCGTTTGGTGCATAATAATAATAATAAAACGAAACAAAAGTACACACATACACATAAACGATATCTTGTTTTTCAATATGACGACAAATTGATGATTATACACGAATGAAACAAAAAAAAAAGTTAAGTGCTCTATTTTTTTAATAGTTTAACATTGTGCATATATCAAGCAACACAAACAAAAAACGATTGAAGTAGGTCCATAGGAATAGAAAAAAATATATATTTTGATATAAATGCCTTATGATAATTGTGATGGACCACTTGCTGCAACAGTTGTTGTTGTTGTTGCTGTTGTTTCATTTGTCTGAGGAGTAACATCACTCGTTGGAACAGTAGTATTGGTTTGTTGTCGTTGACCAGGTGGATTAAATAAGTTTTTAAAAAAGTTACGAATTGCTGTCACTGGACCCGATTTATTTCCTGTTGCTACAGCAGCAGGTGCTACTTGAGCAGCAGTAACTGGTTGCGGACCATAGGCAGTTTGGCCAGATGTTTGAGTTACATAAGCTTCTTGTGAAACATGATCGGTGGTAGGAGTAGTAGTTGCAACAACAGGTGATATTACGGTTGTACCGGTAGTATCAGTTTTAGTTACAACTTCTTCAACATAAGGTGGAAGATGAGAAGCTGTTTGTGCTGATGATAACGATTGTTTGCCATCATCTATAAGGAAATTAGGTTTTTCTACTAAATAGAATTTAGAAAATTTTAATGCAAAATATTTTACCTGGTGCTGTTGCTACAGCATTTTTTGCAGCTGCTACTGCAGCATCTTTGGCTTCTACTGTCGTTGTTGCAACAACATCAGCTGCAGCACTAGCTTCTTTTTTAACATCGGCTGCTGCTTGTCCCATAGTTGCTGTAACATTGGAAGCAGCTTCTGATAATAATTCTGCTCCGTGTTTAACCGTTTCGGTTACAGCAGTTGCACCACTAACTATTGCTTGTTGTGTTGTACTAAGTATTTCAGTACTTTTAGTTAAAACTTCAGAACTTTTCTCACTAGCCCATTGTTTTGTTTCTTCGAATTTTTGTTCACCTTAAATGAAAAATATAATTTTAACAATAGAAATTATTCTATATAAATTTTACCGGATTTTTCAACTTCAGCTAATTTCTCTTCAGCTGTTTTTTCTAATTCTTGTGCTTTAACACTTGCATCATGAGCCGTTTGTTTAACACTGTCAACCAATTCATTTGTTTTTTCTAAATTTTATATAAAAAAAAAAAGAAATGTTAAATTATATGTCCAAAAAAGCAAAAAGAAAATTATTAACCTTGAACTATCTTTTTAGCAGCAGCTAATTTCTCTTCCGCAAGCTTTTCACCAGCTATTAAAGCTTCCTTAGCGTTAGCAGCAAGTTCATAAGCTTTTTCTATTAAAATTAATCTTATTTTTATAAAAAAAAAAAAAAAAAAAAAGTGATCACACAGCTTATAATACCTTGAACATTATGTACTGTTTCACTGGTTTTTACTTCTGCAGCATGAGCAGCAGCTGCAGCATCTTGTTTTAACTCAGCAGCTTTTTCTGAATCATTAATCAATTTAAAAACAATATATATATGTAGAAAAACATAAAGTTCTACCTTCAGCATTATGTGCTAATTCTTTAGCTTTTTCCTCAACAACATGTTTTACTTCAGCAGCTTTTTCTAAAATGATTATTCATATCATAAAAAAAATTTTGATTTAATATTAAAAAAAAGAAAATTTACCTCCAACAGTATGTTTAGTTTCTTCAACCTTTTCTTCAGTAGCATGAGCTGCAGCAACAACATCTTCTTTTAATTCAGTAGCTTTTTCTAAAAATCTTTTATAAATATATAATAAAATAAAATAAAATAAATAATAAACCTTGAACATTATCTGCTACTTCTTTAACCTTTTCTTGAGCATCATGAGCAGCAACTGTTGTATCTTTTTCTAATTCATTTTTTGTTTCATTTGTTGCATGTTCTACTTCATTTAATTTATCATCAGGTGTAGTAACTATTCCCTCAACTTTATCTAAAAATGTCAATCACATATATATTTTTTTTTTTGCTTTTTCTTTACTCATTATGGATGTAAAATCTAATTACCTTTAACTTCATCGGTATTGTTTACTTCCATTGATGTTGTTTCTAAATATATATCATAAAGATTATATTGACCAAAATTTAATGTATATAATAACTAACGAATTTCCTGTATGACAGGTGTTGTTGTTGGCTCATTTTCAACTGTGACATGAATATCGTCCAGTTGACGAGTTAAAGATGCAATAGAATCATTTGGATTTTCAGGAGATTGTACGGTTTCATGATGACTTTCAGTGATTGTTATTGTATTTGATGAAGTATCCTTATTTGTTTCATCTTCAGAGACAACGGTATTACCTATGAAAATCAAATTTATTTACATATACAAATAATAATTTCTTTTTTTAGATATTTCTACCTTGTTCTTCAGATTTATTGACATGAATTTGTGTTGCTGAATTATCGTCAGCCATGAATATGTATTAAAGAAAAATTAAATCTTAAAGGACAAAATAATAATCAAATATGTTATTATTACAATTATATCTTTCTGCAACATTTTGTATTTTTTTCTAATCTTCTGACTAATATCCACACAGCTGTGTATACAATATTATCTAGTCTATCTACTAACAATGTCGATTTCTTAGCCTAAAGAAATGATATATATATATATATATCCGGATTATCTAAAATATAAGATGAACGCAAATCGAAGAAGAATAAAGAAAAAAAACGATTATAGATAAAATTGAATGAATTCTTGTATGACCGGTAGTTTAGGTAACTTGTTATCTTATAACAACAACAAAAACAATGATAAATAATAACCTACTATTCTTTACGTTCTTTTTTTCTGCTCACCATTTGTAGTGAAACGTCTCGATGTTTCTCCTCTAAATAAAATTCGTCCAAAGTGAACTACGGACTGAAAAAAAACAGTCACATCTCACAGGACTTTGTAGTCTGAGTAAATGTAAATATATGACGGTTGTCTGACCTTGGCTTCTCTCAAAAAAAAAAAAAACCGACCGTCATGTTTCGACTATATAATGCTTTATTGTTAAAAGAATGAGAGAAGAAAAAAAGGCTAAAGTTTATATTGATTTACTGTCCTTCTATATTATCGTATCTGTCTCTTTCTCTCTCAAGGGTGATACAGCAAAGAATGCAAAGAAAAAGCTAGATAGAAATGAAAAACAACAAACAAACAAATAACACTATAGCTTTCTGTTTGTTAAGAAGGTGACTAAATGAATATATATGTATGCGCTCTATCTATCTTTATATATATTTATAAGCGTATGTAACGACGTGAAATAACACAATAAGTGCGATAAACTTCTCTCGGTTTTTTTCTTTTACTTTGCAATGATTTTTTTTCCATTCTCGTTCTCTAAACAAAAAAAAAACAAAAAAACGACGTCTAGATGAATGATTACTTTCGATGCCACACACATAAATAGAAATAGAACGAGTAAAAGGGGTCCATAACGGTAATGTAATAGAAGCGACTATTGCTATTGTGTGCATATATTCTTAATGAATCAGATTCAATATTGATGTCAAAAAAATAGAAGAAAAAGGTAGACGCAGGAAAAAGGACAATGCATGTTCGGTATGGATGATGTAATGACATAGAAAGTTTTCTCTATTTTTTTTTCTTATTCTCTACTTCTTTAAAATGTACTGAAAGACAAAAACAACAGAAAACACAACAGTCTAGTTCAAGTTAAAAATAAATGTAAAATTAATAAAAAAAAATCGATAATTTACTTAATTAAAGATAAAGTTGAAAATCTCATTTGTATTAAATTTTTCTTTTAAACTATCTGATGAATTTTCTAGATTTTGAAAAATTAATTAATCTATTAAATGTGTGACTCATCAAAGCAAGAACAAACGCTGACATCTAATGATGGAAATTTAAATTTTTGGGTTGATAGATGGCAAGCAAATAGAATTGGTTTTCACCGAACTTTTGTCAGCGAGTGGGTATTACATTCTTTCTCATATTTTCAATGTATTAAATCTCATTTCTTTTTATATAATTTTTAAGCTTATTCAAGACACATATTCTTCCAAAACTCATTTCATCAGAAGAAAAAAAATGTGTCGTTTTTCCTTTATGTGGCAAAACATTGGATATGAAAGCAGTTTTAGATCTGGGTCATCGAGTTATTGGTATTGAAGGATGTAAAGCTGGTATAGAAGCATTTTTTAATGAAAATAATATTTCATATGAAATCGAAAAAGATGAAAACAATCAATGTGAAATTTACAAAGTAAATGAAAACTAATCTATTCCATTGTTTATTAACAACTTATTTATCAAGGGTATCGAGTGTTCTGTTACTATATATTCTGCTGATGTTTTCACTTTTAACAAGTAAGAAATCTATCAATATTTATTTTTAAAATCTTCAATAATATTTTTAGATCTCTTCCATCTGTTGATTATATATGGGATCGTGGTGGACTCGTAGCTATCAACCCATCAACTCGTGAACAGTAGGAATATGTATATATATATATTTGTTATTTTTTTTCTTCCATTATTCATTTATTTCTGTAGATATCGAGATTGTCTTCTTCGAATGATGACACCGGATCAAACTCGACTCTTTCTTGTAGCCATAAATTATAATGATCCTGATTTTAGTGGTTAGTACTTTCATATATTACGCTTTATTAATTGCATATCACGAAATTTTTATAATAGGTCCTCCATATGTTGTTAATGATGATGATGTCAATCATTTGTTTGGTAAGTAGTAGAAGAAACAATATATTCATTTAATCCATTGTCATGTTTTTTCTTATAGGTTCGACATGCTCATCTGAACTTGTTGAAGTACGTGATAACACAGAAGAATATAGATCACGGGAGGTGGCTCGTCAAATAAATTATATAGAAGAACGTCTTCATTTAATTGTACGAAAGCAAATTTGATCTTAGATCTTGAATTATGTTTTACATTTAATTAGATACATTTTTTTTAATCTGAAACACAATTAGTTAAATCACTTAATTCAATATCTAATATAAAACGCTGATTTTTCTTAAAGAATATACATCATTATCAAATTAAAAAAAGAGTTTATTTAAAATATATAATCTATCTTTTTTTTCATCGTATGATTTCATAAAACAATTTAATATTGAAATTTTTAGATAACAACAAAAAAGCAATGTTTTTATACTTTGTTTTTCCTATTGAATTCAATAATAGAACATAAATTCGAAAACATCAAAACTGAATTTCATTAGTTATGCTTGACACAATAACTGATGAAGTCAATATTACTAGTAGACTATTCTCAATAGAAGTTGAGCGTACAAATGTAAATAGAATAGAATAAATCAATTGATGACAAATGACAAATAATCTAAAATAAGAAAAAAACAAGATTTTCAATCTGAATATAGTCATCATCAGAGAAAAACAACAGTCCAATACAAAGAGTAGCATGATTAATATAATTATTTGCTTATTCATTCAAATTTCAATCAATGACTGTTTGAATCAACAGTCATAGATTAATCATTCGATGAATGTGAATCTTTCTTTGTTCCATTAAGTAGATTTTGATCGAACGATCTGTCATTTGCGTATCGAAAAGAGCAAAGATTTTCAAAAGTGATTGTCTATTTAGTTGGATTTGATCGAAAATTTATTATAGAAAATGAATACAACATAGTAAGCAAAAAAAAACGAAATGAAAAACGTAATATTTTTTTGAAAAATTCATTAATATTTTTTCTTAAACAGTGTTTGAAAGAAAAGCTCTCCTTAATTAATATTCGCTAATACTTTAATAACCAATAATTCAAGGTAGTCGAATAGAACAAATTGTTTTGAACATCCACTGTAGGATTGCATGTGCTAGTCTTTCTAACCTTTCACACTGAGATTATTTATGATAATATTGCAAGCCGCTCAAATTTTAGGATGCCTTGAATTCCTTTAATTTAAGAAAATCGAATGGAATTCAGTATTTGGAACTTCCAAATTGGAATTGTATGTATTAATCTTAGTAAATTCTTGAATGGAACTGTGTGTAATAGTGTTTCAAGCCTTCTCATTGTAGAATGTCTTAGATTCTATTGAATTTTCAATTTCTAGATGATGAATATTGCTACCTTTTCAAATCATGTACCTGTTGATGAAGTATATGAAAAAAAATGAGTTTAAGTTCAACAGTATCAGATAAAAATTAGTCATTTATGTTCTCATAGTCAGCGTCTTTTCGTATTTATTTCCTATACTTTTATTTCATCTGATCTAGTATCCTGCAATTCGGTTGGGTTCTGGAAATCATCTTATATCCAGACCTAATCCAGTTATAAATAGAATTTTGACATTTTAAAATAATTTTATTTTTTCAAACTGCTATCTATATAAAAACATAGGAGTAAAAACCTGAACAATTTATTGTACTTGAGAACAGGTCACAGACATGGAAAACAATATTGTTTTACTAAAAGAATTCGTTTTTAAATAAAAACTCATCTACACATGATAATGAAACACATGACGAAGTAACTGAATATATTGAGAACAAAATGAATCATGAAAAAAACGATGAACATGTATAATTGTGACGAAAGAAGCATTCATGTATGTATCCACAATGATGACATTTGGCACCAACACTGTTTCATTTCAATGTTCTCAGCAACAGGCAAATATATGCGTAGCTAAATTGATCAGATTTAAGAAGCAGGAAGATACCAAGTGAATTTTTATTACTGTTGATGAAGAAAACAAAATAATATACTTTTCATATAAAATAAAAGTCTAAAAACGGCACTGCAACTGTGAAAGTATCTGCTGGGTGTTAATTAGCTCAATTCCTGGTACGAATGTTAGATGATTGGGTTCGATTGCGAAAAAATATTACTCTTACCTAACTTGCTATTAGACTTATTTCAAAAACGAACATTTGCATTTAGAGTATCCTAAATTAACTCACATGTATGTTTGAAAAAATTTTTTCAAAGAAAAAATGAGGTCAACAAAACGATATTTGTGTTTTCTGTGAAAGATAAATAAAAGAATATTATATATTATAATGTTTGATTTTATCTAAAATCTTTATAAAATACAATATATTTGATTAATTAGCTTTTGTATCTAAATGTTTAAAATAGATATGTGGGACACATTAAAAAATATAACTTCCTATGTTTCCTTTAAATCTACGACACATAATGAACTTTTCTAAAAAAAAAATAGAAAGTTGAAAATAAATAAAATAATTACCTCATAAATATTTGCTAATCGATAAAGATCGTGAGACTATAAATATCTCAAGAATTCTTTTGTCAATGTTTTTCTAAAAGATTGTTATATTTTTTAATTCGATGAAAAAACGACTATGCAATAAAGTAACAAAAAAAAACTTAATTGATTATCAAGTGCATTAAACTCTTATCATTGACTCCATTAATAGTGATTTTCATAGTGCATAGAAAAATCAAACAATAACCTTTTCCGAACTTAATTTCATGAAAAATATACAATCTATGATACAAATAAAATGTATAGATGTTTACTTTCAATAGTCTTTTGAAGTTATTACACATACATTTATGAGAAAATCTATTTATTTATTTAAGATCATATATTTACTTATGAAATATCAATATTATAGAAAATACACATTGTTTTCAATATTTATATTACCATTGATTGGACAACATTGATTTTACTATATAAATCAGCAATAATTTATAAACAATCACTATTCTTGAATTTTTTGTTGATAAGAAAACATAGTCATTTGTCAAACACAATTGTGTATCAAACTTAATAAGTCAAAAAATAATTCTCATGTTATCTATTCATTTTTGTTTCAATCGAGTAAACATTGTTGAATGAAAAATTCTATAGAATAATCAACAAACATGCCATAGCCATGCGTATAACTCATTTGTCAATCAGCTTATGTTCTCCTTTCTCCTTCACTTATATCCACTTGATTAGATTTTATCGTCAACATCCGGCCTTTATTTTCTCAATTGAGATTGAGTAGAAGTTGACGAAAGAGAGCAAACAAATGAGTATAAATAATAATAGTTGAATTTACCATAAATATACAGGTGCATAAGAATCACACAGAATGACAGTAGTTCTTCGCCTTTCTATCTCAGCATGATATTTAACACTTATGTATCGTAGGAAAGCTAAATTTTAATTGAACATATCATATATATATATATATATATATGAAGTAATCTGACGATCAACTTAATATGTATGTTATATATACAGGTATTGTTCTCATAGCATGCGATAAGATATAAATCGATTGACAACGATACAACTTTGTTTTTATAATGATTTAACGAATAGACAAATACAACACCTGTATAGTTAAATGCCGTAAGGCATCTATTATGAATCGAGTAACACTTTATTAATTATATATAAATGTCTTGTGGACACAAATAAGAAAAGAAAAGATCAATTTCTAAAAATGCAATACTTATCAAGCCATTGGTACAATGAATGTATGTAATTAAAACCACAGAATATCAAATAACAACACTGATGTAATTGTTGATTCTTGAATAAATAAAATAAAGTACCGATATTGAACTAACAAGTTGTCGTACTATTCCATCTGTAGATATAATGGTCTTTGATGTAGTTAACTTTTACCAATAAATAAAATACATCGGTTCCATCTCTGTATTAACCTTTCTTGTTATATATATTTTTTATCATTTCTACAAAAAAAAAATGATTGAAATTTGAAACGCACGTGCCACTTTCAATTTCCCTTCATTGACATACATGAAAAAAAAAGGAAAAGATCAAAACAATACACGACCATATCAACAGACCCAAGAAAAAAAAATGTCAAAGAAAGAACAAGGAAACTATTCATTGCCGCTACTATAGAAAATCTAAATGAAGTGTATGTGCAATTGACTGCAATGAAATTGATATGACATTGAATACAAGACACTTATCGATTGTTGATCAAAAAGAACAGCGGCAATGATCTTGATCTAGTTTGTATGTGTCTCATCCGGAGGAATTCAAGAGTCTCACTTTTCAAAAGACACAAAACAAAAAGAAGGCAGCGGTATATACATATAAATGACATTTTCATGCATGATTGTTTGTCTCATTGACAAATAACTACTTGATTCAATAGGAAAGACAAATGAAAAGGTGATGATGATCACTACTTGACCATATCCGGTGACCTAATCACTATTTCATACTTGACACATTTGAAGAAAATAAATATGTTCGCGTGTCAATCGAGAGAAAAATATGTGATAAGTCAATCACTACTATAAGTATACTTGTTGATTGAATTAAAATTCTTTAAATCGAAAAAGACAAAGGTGATAAATCATATTTCCTTATTTAACAAAAAAATTTTGATTTAATCAATAAAAAACAAAATTTTATTTCATTAGTGAATAAAATCAAGCAAAAAAGATTAATGTTATTTAAATATTAGCATGTATATATTGAAAAATAAATAATAGAAGAAAGAAAAAAACAAACTCAATATATACATAGAGGGCTAAATAGCACCATCAACCGGGCCAATGAACAACAAAATTTTTTTTTAAATTACAAGAAAAAACGAAGAACATGACATAAACCATAAATGAATGTAATGGTTCGTTGGCCAAATATGTGATCGATTGATGATGATGATGAAGTATTGTTTATCTAAACAAAAACAAAAACAAAAAAAACGTTCCATATGAATGAAAATTATCAATAAATATTTATAATTTATCAATGAAAAATAATCACCTGTAATTGTTCATCAATTTGATCACCAACTTTTCTTAATATAGTTGCAATATTAACAATAGTTTCTCGTCGTTGTTGTTCAATAAGAATATCATTAACAAGATCAGGTAAATTCATTGATGATAGAATTTCTTTTTCACAACTAATTGTTGTAATATTTGTTGATAAAGAATTCATTATTGATACAGTAGTTAATGATAAATTCATTTGTTGTTTACGATTTATTAATGAATATGTTTGACGACGTTTTCTTAAATTAATTGATCCTTGATAACGTTTTATTGGTGATAAGGTAATTGTCGTTTTTGTTGTCATTCTCTATTGAAATATATGAATGCGTTGATGATGAGAAACGAATGATCGCAATAGAATGAACACGAGACAGAGAGAGAGAGAGAGAGAGAATGAGAGGAAAGAACGAAAAAATAGTATTGATAGAAACGATGAAAAAAAAAAGTGGAACGTTTGGTTAATTGAAGAATAGAAAAAAAGTCTTAATTGGATTCAGATAAATTTTTGAAACAATTACAAAAACCGTTACACATTAGAAATTGATGAGCATTTTTTCTTTTTCGTATCGAAAGTTTCATCGATACTTTTTATTAGAAAAACTTATTGTAATAATAGAAATGAGAATATATGATAAACAGAGGGAGAGAAGACTTCTTGCGGAGAGTGACGCTAACCAGTCTCTGAAAAATCCTTATGATATTCAAATCAAACAATCTTCGTATCTGGTTCGAGCGTTCCTGGAGCTAAGTCTCGTCAACTGTATTGGTAACGTGGAAGCTGGATAAGTCCAATCCCCACAACTATATCACTAATCGAAAGCGTTTTCGGGATTTTTTTTATTGATGATAGCGTTCGTTTTTGAAAATGTCGGATAATATCATTACTATTTAGTTTATTTATTTCTTGAGTAAAATTCTGAAATTGTGTCGATGAAGCGATCAGATACGAAATCTGACTATGTAACAGTTGTCTATTGATTATTTCAGTTGATTTTCATTTTATGGCTCTTTTCGAATAAGTTACAATCATTGAGAATTTCTTATTTTATTATACATATGAAAGTCTATGATCGTTTGATTTCAGTTCAATGAATCTCACGCGCTTCTTCTACGGAAAAGATCATATTATGAAAAATATTCTTATTCATTTCTAGCAACTGTATATAGATATTTCTTTTATTTGATTAACATGATAATAATCTTGTTTGTCTATATATATAACATAGTGTGAGGAAATATCAAAATGACACTTCTGCATTTGCTATTGATTTATTGGACATTTCTTGTGTAATTAATCGTATAAATTCAAGAGAAGAACAAGATTAATAGAAATAAGAATAAGTGAGAAATGTTTTGATCACAAGTCAAAATTGAGAAAAAAAAAAAACTTACGGTCGACAAATGAACCACTTGATAGTAGTCGAATAGAACAAAGAAATGTAAAGACTACAAACGAATGTATATCATCAAGAAAAAAAAAAAGAAATTAAATGTTTCAAAATTTGCGACTACTTGAATGATTATTGTCTTTTTTTTTTGACAATACAAAAAGCAATTTAATTAAATATATTAGAAAAAAATCTTCCTTCTTTTCCACATTTTTTTTTTACACATATATGAACAACATATACACTCTTATCGAATAAGCGTGATCACCATTGTTCTCACACTTGAGTAATATACGTCTAGCCAATGTTGTCGTTCTATAGACACGCGATACCTTCTGCCCTCCCTACTCATCATTTTCATACAATGAATGAACATTCATATACAGGAAATAGTAGAATCATAGCATGTTACACCTGCATTCATACAAATAGGCGAGAAAAGTTATAGTAAAAAAACAATTGTGAACTTCTCTTGCCTATTGTTTAAGTGAGAGGCATATAAAGATTCATACTCATGCAGACAGATCATTTAGATGAATTCACAGTAGGAGTCATTTTTTTTCATTGTTGTTGTTGATGTTTGGAAAATACAAAACTTTATTTTAAATTAATACAGAATTATAATCACATGACTATTAACTTTCGTTAGTTTAATAAATAATAATAGAATGTATATTATACAAATTAACTATATTTTTTTGAATAACACGTGGATCTACTCATATTACGTACTTTGTCACCTCTTATAGAAAAATCATGCTGAGGTGACAAGAGGAAAAAGTGCCGTATGGTTTGTTCGAAAAAAAAAAAAGATAATCAAAATTTTGTCTTCTATTATTATCTATGTCAGACAATGGCAAAGTGTAGCGATGATTGAATCATGCGGGATAGATCAAAGACAAAGAATGACCTTAGGCTATATGATATTGTTTCGACACAACATGTTACAACAGACTACGTAGTTCACAATATATTGATCTACATGTATTAGAATAAGAAGAATATAGCAGATGACTTACTAAATTCTGTTTTTTTTTTTGTTATATTGTGCCTAGATGGATTGTTAATAATGAATTAGAAGAATCAAAACAATATATATATAAGAGATCAAAAACACGTTGAGTGTGTTATAAGTGATTGTTAACAGATAAAAAACAATGTCATTGCAATCATTCGAACAAAATAATGATGTTGTCATATAAATGGCGTATATATTCAGAATACTACCTTGATTAATATCGACTGACTACCTTGAACATGATCATCATACTGTCAAAATTGATGGTCAAATCTTATCATTATTTAGTTGCATTTGATACGTTACTTTCTATGTTAGTTAATATCTCTCGACATAGTGAGGACAACTTATGCCGATGGCATATTGAACGAATGTCAATGAAGATAAAATATAAATGATTTTTACTAGAGAAAATCTTATTGAATTTTTAATAAATTTTAACTTGAAATCATTTCGTTGAAGTTTTTGTTTGAGAAAATTGTCTTTTGATCACTAAACATATTAGTACGAAATGGATGATAGAAAATAATAGATGGCGCATTCGTAGCAAATGATGTATTTATATCAGAAGTTAACTAGTTGATAGGACAAAGTTAAATAATGATGATCTCATTTAATCAATATGATCAAATAAATACATATATCGTTTTCTACTTGAAAAATAAGGTTTATTTTCAGATAAAGTGGAATTGATATACTCTTTCAATCTAAAAAAATTAACTCTATAGAATCGAGATCCACAGAGAATTTTCAGTTGCTAAATGAGTTATTTTTGGCCCTTGTTCGTTGAATATTTCCTGAAAATTTCATGCCATTTGAATATCCTTAGGTCAAGATCGATTTTTGAGGAGAATGGCCTTGACTCAGAATACATATAAAGAAGAGTGTAGGTGTTCTCTTCACCTACTCGACATCAACACCCTTTCTGTTTCTAGTATTTAGTGCAACTTTTTTTTGTCTCATCTATTTTTGTAACAGTATAGCTGTTATTATATTAATAATGGCGGAGCCAAAACAAAATTTGAAACTGAAAAGCAGATATTTTCTTCGCCTATAAAAAAGGATCGTCTCATTTCTAGAGAAAACCAAGCCCGCTTCAACCATTATCTGTTAATAATAAATTTGATGATTCAATCAAGACTCTCGATAGTTGAGCAAAGATATTGCCAGACAGTCCATCTGGCAAAAATGTCATTAAGAAAAGCTGCCTTCTTAAATTTCGCAGACGCAACCTGAAATATGGTGAAAGGGTCTAGTGCACTTCAGCCTCTTCCACATTGAAATCTATGGATCAAATGTATCTTTTTTTCTTGATGATCAAAACTATTGATATTATTTTTGTTTCATACATATGAAATTCATTAAAAATTTATAATTCTAAAAATCTTTTTCTAAATTCTTCATTTTCCATTGATCTTTATCGAAAGGCCAGCATCTTTAAACATTAGATAGTTTTTTGTTTTTATCGATTTGTCTGATTTGAATAAAACAAAACAAGAAAACTTTTGTATGCTTGTAGAATAAGTCGCGCATAATTCTTTACTTATACACATGACATAGAGAAGAAGAGAGAAAGAAAAAAAAAAAGGTATAACATACACACAAAAATAGACAACGAGAACAAATGTCGATCTCGGGCACTAAGCTATGTATATATATATATATATATATTTATATATAATGATATGCGTTATGGGGAAAAAAACAATAATCGAAAATAAGAAGAGAAAGAATACGAGCGCGTCTTTTTTATGTTTTTTTTTCTTCATCATCATCAACATTATTTTTTTTTTCTGTTGAATAATCCAAAATCACAAATAAACTATGTACAAAAAAAAAGAGTAGAGAAACAAAAAAAAGTAAAAGAAAGAACTTTTCTTTTTTTTGTTTTATACTATCGGACAACATGCCGGTAAAAGAGAAATTCATGACAACCAATTTGAACTACTGTTCCTTGTTCGATTTGGGCAGGTCCATCCCATGCTGAATGATATGATGGTGATGTTAAACAAAAACATTTTTTTAAATTCTCATTCTCAAATATTTTCTCGTCATTATTATTATTATTATTATTATTATTGTCATCTTCATCACTTTCATTATCAGATAAATTTCCAAGACCATAACGAAGACCATTAACAATTGTACCATATTCACTATAATTTAATAATTCAAATAAATTTCTTTTTCTATCATAATATAAACATGCATGTCGTTCATTAACATATGGACATGTTTGTTGATCATTAAAATTTTTTAAACATATATCATTTGATATTGATGAACCAAACCAAATAACTTGTTTACGTATATAAATAACATGTTTAGAACGTATATGTATAAGAGCTGCATGAGATAAACGAAATTGTGAAAGATCTATTAAAAGTGAGAGAGTATTCATTAATGAAGTTCTATAATAAAAAAAACAAATTTTATGTTTTGTTATTTTTTTTAAAGAAAAATATTTACGGTAATAAAGAATTTTCATTAATTAAACACGAATCAGCTGCAGCAACAAGAACTGCAAGACCATTATTATGAATTTTATTTTTTTCTATTGAATAATTTGGTTCATTTAATGCATTTAATAATAAATCAATTTTATCAAGTGTATTAGATTCATTTTCTTGTGATATTTTTCTTACTTTATCATTCTCAATTAATAAAGAAGAATCAACTATGGATGAAAATTCATATATATGATCATCAATAATATGATTAAGTATTGCTTGTAATATATCCCATACACATGGATCATATGTAGAAGAACATTTATCAAGATCAATAGATGTCTAAAATTTTAGAAAAAAAAAACATAATGATGGATTTTGTCGGATCTATAGAAACTAAAACTTTTTCTACCGAAACGATAAGTTATGACCGATTTTCGGCTTTCAT